AAGTACTTCAGTAATCTCATGGGACCTGGGAAAATCAGCACCTTGAGTATGATACTTTTCTGTGTAAAATAGCAATAATTCACATATTAAAAAAGAAATTCTGTGGAATGCTTCTCTACCAAATATTCATGTGTGAGGAAATAAAGATTAACAAGTTATTTTTATTTTAAAATAATTAATAAGTACAATTATATATATTTTTAAATTTTTATTAGCATGTAATAATTGCCCTTATTAATGGGGGACAGTGTGATATTTCTATATATGCATACACTCAGCATGATCATATCCAACCTCTATTTACCCACCCTATATCCCTTCTCAAACTCTATTGGTCACCATTCTACATTGAGGTCACCCTTTTTAATATTCCACATATGAGAGAGAATATATGGGTCTTATCTTTCTGTGTCTGGCCTATTTTGCTTAACATAATGTCCTCCAGTTCTATCCATTTTGCTGTAAATGTCAAGAGCCAATTCTTCTTTGTAGCTGAATAATATCCCCTTGTGTAAATATACTACATTGTCTTTATCTCCTTATCTATTGATAAACATAGTTCTCATTCAATATCTTAGCTACTGTGAGTAACACTGCATGGGCATGCAGATATCCCTTTGGTATGCTGATTTCTTTTCCTGTGGATATGTACCCAGAAGGAGGATAGCTGGGTCATAGAGCATATCTAATTTAAGTTTTTTGAGAAAACTTCTGATCTCTATATTGATCGTACCAATTTAAATTCCCACCAAGAGAGTTCTTAGTGTTTAAGTGTTCTTTAAGTGTTCTTAGTTCTTAGTGTTTAAGTGTTCTTTTTCTCTCACATCCTAACATTTATTAATTTTAGGGTTTATTGTTAATAATAGACCTTCTAACTGGAGCGATATGGTATCTCATTGTAGTTTTCATCTTCATTTCCCTGATGGCTAATGATATTGAGTAGGTTTTTTTAAATGTATTTTTGACTGTTTGTACTTCTTTGAGATATGTCTATTCACAAATCATTTGTCCAATGTTTAATTGGATTGCTTGTTTTTAGTTTTTTTGAGGTCATTATACATTCTAGGTATTAACCCTTTGTGAGATGCATAGCTGGCAAGTCTTTTTCCCATTCCATGGCTTGTCTCATTCTGTCGACTGTTTCTTTAGCTGTGCAGAAGGTTTTTCAATTTAATATATCAACTTTGTCAATTTTTGCTTTTTGTTTCTTATGCTTTTGTGGTTCTATCCAGAAAATTGTTGTTTGAACCAG